GAATGTTCTGATGGAGTCAAAGGGTGGGAAAAAGAAGTCCAGTAGTAGTAAATCCCTATTCTACGAAGCTCCCCTTGGATACAGCATTGAAGACGTTCGACCACACGGTGGAATCAAGAAATTCAGATCTGCTGCATACTCCAACGTGAGTTTTAATGATTTGGCTTCCCTCTCTTCTTATCAAATATGCTTTAACCACTGTGCTAATTCTAACAAGTGCATTTCATTCCTTTTTGCAGTGCGCCCGCAAGCCCTCCTGAGATTCCTTAAGCTTTCTGATATAACCACACTCTATTGGTTCCGAATAATTGTTTCCCAACCTTTAAAATAATCTGCTCCTCTCTGTTTTTATCTTTCCTTTCCTCTCCCCCCATCCTTGTTATTTCTTTTCTCACTTCAAAACTCGTCTCAAGTCTTTTAAATTCAAATGGCTGTGCCATCCTCGGCAATCGGATTCGAAGGCTACGAAAAAAGGCTCGAGATTTCATTTTTCGAGCCTAGACTCTTTGCTGACCCCGCAGGACGGGGTCTCCGGGCTCTATCGAAAGCCCAACTTGACGAAATCTTGGACCCAGCACAATGCACCATTGTCTCCTCCTTGAAAAATGACGAAGTTGATTCCTACGTATTGTCCGAGTCCAGCCTCTTTGTCTACCCGTACAAGATTATACTGAAAACGTGTGGCACCACTAAGCTGCTGCTCTCGATCCCACCAGTGCTCGAATTGGCACACACACTCGGACTCACCGTGAGTTCCGTGAGATACACACGCGGGAGCTTCATTTTCCCCGGCGCTCAACCTTTCCCCCACCGAAGCTTTTCCGAAGAAGTGACTGTGCTTGATGGCCACTTCACGAAATTTGGGTTGAGAAGCAAAGCCTTTGTGATGGGTGGGGATGACGAATATGAGAAATGGCACGTCTACACTGCTTGTGCCGAGCCTAAGCCAATGATGACCAACGATCTTGGTCCCATCTACAGCCTTGAGATGTGCATGACTAATCTGGACCCCAAACGGGCCTCTGTTTTCTTCAAGAACCAATCTGCCACAGCAAGTATCATGACTGAAAAGTCTGGGATTCGGAAAATCCTTCCTGAATCCGAAATATGCGACTTTGACTTTGACCCTTGTGGATACTCGATGAACGCAATTGAACAAGGGGCAGTCTCGACAATTCACGTGACCCCGGAGGAGGGGTTCAGCTACGCGAGCTTTGAAGCTGTTGGATATGATTTCAAGAACTCGGTGGATTTGAGTCTGCTGGTGGAGAGGGTTTTGGCCTGTTTCCAGCCAGCAAAGTTTTCTGTGGCTTTGCATTCTTCTGTTGTTGCTGGGAAAGAGCTCGACTTGGAATTTGCTTTGAGCTTCGAGGGGTATAACTGTGGAGATAAGGTCTGTGAGATGACTGGCGATGGTGGGTCGGTGATCTATTGTGGATTTACGAGCGCGGGTGGCTGCTGTGGGTCCCCCAAATCAATTCTCCAGTGCTGCTGGAGTGAGAACGAGGATGAGGAAGGTGGGAAGAAGTGATCTGTTTCGTTCTTGTCATGCTTTCGAGTTTGCTTCAAGTTGGAGTTGCCATTACTTCTAATATTACTAGTAGTATTATCTGTTTTAGTGTTGGAGCTGTTGTTTGAGTGGTTGGTGAGAATAATAAAGTTTGCTCGGCTCTCGATTCGGGTGGAGCAAACTTGGGTTGTGTTTTAATCTATTTTGCTATGTGTGTTTATCTAAGTTCAAACCTGTTTTGCCCCAGACTGTTTAAGTAATATACGAGTTTATGTTTGGTTTGATGGGTATTACTTGCTTATACATTGGTGCTACTATATTTTGTTGATGGACTTGCCTTGCAGTCTCTTTCTTTTCTCTCCCTTCTAAGTTCTAAGTACTGTTTCCTTCTTCTATAATCACATTATTATGGGTTGCTTATTGAGCAGAGTTTGAGCTCATTGAGGCGATCGTGGCTCAGTAAGGATCGCATTATGGGTTGTTCATTATTGAGGCGATCGTGGCTCAGTAAGGATCGCATTATGGGTTGTTCATTATTGGGTTGTTCATTATTGAGGCAATTGTGGCTCAGTAAGGATCGGATTATGGGTTGTTCATTGAGTCAAGTTTCAGCTCGTTTAAGACTCATTTAGTTAACGAGGCGATCTTGTGGGTTGTTTACTGAGTTGAGTTTGAGCTTGTTTAAAACTCATCTATCTGACTATCTCTATATAATTGATCAATTTTTATTACATGGTTTTGAGCGGAAATGTTTTTTTGCCTATATTTGGCATAATTAATATTTATTTATTAGCATTTATTTTTCTTATGACATTTATTTTTCTCTATTTATCTCTTTCGTAATCACATTTGTACATGATTATTTATATTATCTCAATTTTACATGAATTTTGAAAAATATTACGTTGCACTTCACAAATCATTCAATCACGAGATTCAGACATCTTAAATTTAATTTAGCATCCAAGAAAAAAAAAGTAAATTGACACTTTTTTTTTTGGTACAAAAAAGGGAGGCAAGACGCATTTATTTTGAAAAAAATATAATGTAATTTATTACCACTTATATGCAACGTACAAGTTGTGTAGTAATTTTAATAGACATGTTTCATGTAATTTTGCACAAATTATCTTTCATATAACATTTGAAATAAATTAATATAGGGAGGGGACATATTATATATCGATTTTATATTTTTAATTTATTAATATTATTTAATAATTATTTTTAATTTATATATATCAATGAATATCTTTTACTCGTGCATCGCACGGATTCGTACTAGTTATACCTAATACAATTCAAATTATATCCACTAAATAGGAATAATTAAAATCGGCCGTGGTATAAATTGAATTTACTAATAACACCAAATTTCCTAAAAAAACAAGGTAATCACGCACTTACATATAGGTCACTAGTCGCGAACATTTTTTTTTTTAAATAATGACATATAAGGTTAATTATTAGGGTTTGGATTGGAATTTCCTGTCTCACACGCCTCTCTTCACTTCTCTCCGCTCTCTACAGTCTCCGACTCTCTTCTCACACAAAGGCTCCACTCGTCGCCCGCCTTTGGGACACCGCCTCCGACGCCTCCGCCTCCGCCTCGACGCCCCTCCTCCAACTCCACTTTTAGATTTCAATGGTAATTACTACATTTTTTAAAAATTTAAAAATGGTTCATGTAAAATAGGTGCAGGGGTTTCTCTTCAAGTTCATAAATTTCTGAAAATTGAAATATATTTTATGTATTAGTACTCTATACATTGCTGAATTTTAGCTATTTTAGTTTTTAGGAGGAGGATGATGAAATGTGAGTAGATTTGGATGTCACTTAGAAATGTCTGCTCTTTCATATTGCTCAGTTCATATGGATTTTTCAGGATGCTGAAATTTGAGTAGATTTGGATGTCATTTAGGATGACGAAATTCGAGTAGCAATTTTACATTGCTCAGTTCATATGCATTTTCTGTTCATCGTGTTTTTTTTTTCTTTTTTGTCATTTAGGATTTTTTTTTTTTGTTCCAATGGGGTAAATACCCACCCGAATTGAGCCAGAGCAGGGGTTCGGTTTTCAGAACCTTGTTTTGTCCATTTGATCTATATGACAGACACTTTTTTAAAATGCATATTCAAATAATGTCAATTTGTACTATAGTTGTGGTTGATATTATTTATACAAATTATAGGGTTGAGAGAAATTCAGCATCCCTTCGACGAGGCTGAATCGGAAAAATCATACTCTCTTCGCTTCCCCACTAAATCTGGTACTCCGTCGATAAACCCACTCACTCTCCCAAAACCCCCAAATTTTGTGGTATAATTGACTCATTGGTTATGGATGATCAGAATATTGATAGTTTAGAGTTGGGTTTAGTATATTTTGTTTAGATTATGTAACCGATCTTATTGTATAAAGATAATGCATGTTGGAGATATTAACGTGTGCCGGTTTGATTAGGTTCCTGATCAGTATAGGTGGAGGTGTTACTGTTAAAGTGTTAATCTTATTTTGTTTCGTTTAGAATTGCGAGACAATAACGCGTTATTGGCTAGTCTCGGCTCAAAACCTGACATGGTATCTGAAATGTTAGTTTTATTGCATCTATGCAATGAAACAATAAACCCTGTGTTTTTCTTATGGTTTACTAAAATGACAAGAGCTTCAGCTGAGCTCTTTTGCAACCGATATTTTGAGTCGAATTGAAGTTTGTTACAACCTGCATGCATGTATGTGGTACTTAGCCTTGCTATTGGTGTTTGATTATTTGATTTGTCTTGAGCTATGTTATTACAAATTATGGTTAAAAATATTATGGACTTCTGGATAGCTGAATGGTTCACGAAGAACATAAGTGACGTGGAAGTATTTTTGACGCAAAAATTTATGGATAATTGTAGACAAAATGAATGAGATTAGCTAGCAACTCTTGTGCAGATGCTGTTCTTATGAAATGAAGCATTATTTTCATTTCATTAGTTTTTATGGCAACTGTTATCTCAAGAAGAAGACAATTGTCCTTAAAAAATAAACTAA